AAAGAAAGAAAGAAAGAAAGAAAGAAAGAAAGAAAGAAAGAAAGAAAATAAATCTGGCCATGGTTTTCTGATTACAGGTAGTTTTTATTACCTTTCTTTATTATTATTATTAATTATTGTTATTATTATTGTTGTTGTCTGTTTGCAGTTACGATGGGGCTGAAAAAAAGTGAGTTATAATCGGTCCTCACGCTTCCAACCATTGCAGCATGCACACAGCCATATAATCACAATTTGGGCACTTGAACACAGGCATGTATTTACAATGGTTGCAGCATCCCAGAATCGTGTGATCACTGCTTGTGATCTTCCCAGCCCGCTGCCAGTAAGCAAAACCAATGGGAGACTTGAGCCGGTTTTGTTTTAACAACCACACAAATCACTTAACCATGTGATTGGCATAATGACTGCAGCAAAAAGATCATAAAATCAGTCACCGTCACATGATGACCTACTTAACAACTGCACCATTTAGTGATGGAAGTTTGAGGGCTACCTATATGCTCCAAACCTGCCAAGAAAATATATTAGTTTACTAAGTTCTTTCCAGGATCCTGACTGTGTTCTTCCTTATTTCTTTATTTATATGAGAAATATTGGTGCTTTCAATTGCTCTATCATAGCCCAGGTTGCCTCAAAACATTTACTGGGCTTACCTGAACTGCACTAAAAGGGACTGAAAGAATCTGCACAGCCATACAGAACATAAAGACCTGGTCAAAAGGGCCCAGCAGAGATTATGCTACTTGAGACTTCTCAGGAAACAACAACTGAATGAAAAACTGCTGGTGTCCTTCTACCGCTGCACCATAGAGAGTATTTTAACTTACTGCACCTGTATATGGTTTGCCAATTGCACAGGGGCAGATAGGAAAGCACTCCAGAGGGTTAACATCATTGCCCAGAAGATCAGTGGTTTCCCTCTCCCTTCTCTGGAAGAGGTTTATAGCTCCTGCCGCCTTAAGAAAGTTCAAAACATTCTCCAAGATCTATCTTATCCTGAGAACCCTTTTTTTTGAATTATTACCATCTGGCAGATGGTACAAAATAATAAAAACAAGGACAAATAGGCTGAAAAACAGCTTCTATCCCAGGGCAGGAGCTCTTTTGAATTCTGCTGTATAGTGCAGTGTTGGTATAGTGTTGGGGGTTTTCGGTTCAGTGTGTGGAGTGTAAAGGATGTGTGTTTGTATTTATTTTCATGATCATGATGTGCACTAAAGATTTCGTTGTAAGAGGTGCAATGACAAAAAGAAACTAAACTAAAGAAGGTGCCACTTGCATTGCTCCCCCAACTAGGTAGTTATGCCTCTTATGATGTTGGAAACATCTGCACACTGGAATCAGAGAACAAGCAACAGTGAGATGGAACCCAACTGTTCACTATTTTCATAGGAAGTCACAAGGGAAGTGGGAAGAACTTCCTTGGAATAAGGCAATAGCAAATAATTTTTGTAATTTTGAAAGAGAAAACTATACGGAAGTGTCCATGAAGCCACCAGGAGTTGAACATGACTCAAAAGGGAATTTACTACACCTTTTCATTTTCACATCCATATTCTAGTATTTTATCTGATACCTTTGTATCTCTGAACTGAGTGGTATAATAAATTATGTATGTGTATATATGTATATTTCTGCTGCTAAGCAAGGCAGGCAAGTTTTCTCCTTTTGTAACCTTTCTTGCCATAATCGTTAAGTGAATCAGTGTAGCTGTTAAGTTAGTAACTTGGTTATTAAGTGAATCTGGCTTCCCCAATGACTCTGCTTCTCGGAAGGTTGCAAAAGGAGATCACATGTCCCTGGGATACTGCAGCCGTCATAAATATGAGACAGTTGCCAAGTGTCTGAATTTTGATTATGTGACCATGGCAATGCTGCAAAGCTCATAAGTATAAAAAATGGTCATGTAACTTTTTTCAGTGCCATTGTAACTTTGAATAGTCATTAAACAAATGGTTGTAAGTCAAGGACTATCTGTATTCAATGTCAACGGTTAATAAAGCCTGTGGGGAAATAACTTGGCATTTCCCAATTCTTTTTTTTTTTGCCTTCTGACCTTGAATGTTGACAGCTATTTCCCTCTGCATTAAATGTGGAGCAATGTTCCTAAAGGAAACAAGTTACATTTTTCAAAGAAAAGACATAGCAGTTTTCCTTAAACAAAGCCCTGTCCACACGTTTGACACAGTTCCTGGCCATTGACCTTCCCAAAGCATTGTGTGCTCCTGTAACAGAGAATCCCAGTGGAGAATGCAGTAAGCACAAAAGGAATGACCAGTTTTTGAACACATAAGCAGGCTTGGCTTGTGGCATAGAGAAAAGGGCCAAAAATCTTCAAGGAAAATTATTTGCCCCTTGGGGGATACTGAGCCAGTGTGAAGCCAGTGGGTAACAGGGACTGGTAGGTTATAATAGCAGTGAAGAATTTTGCAGATGCCACTTGCAATTTGGTAGCTTCTCAAGCTACTAGGGAGAAGTGAATCTGGAACTCTGTGTTCTTTTGTTAATACAATGATCTGGAGACGGCTGATGAAGCTAAATGGCTGAGGGATCAGGAGAGATAGTGAGTATACAGTTAAAACTACAGGTGCACTCGTGAAAGAGACAACTTTCAAAGGGGAGCGGACAAACTCATGAAGAATCTGGTTTCACCATTACGACAACAGGGTCTAACAGGGGTCTTCTTCTTAGGTTTCTTATACAAATGCCATCATTTTATCATATTCAAGCAGGTTGAAGAAACTGGTATTTCTCAGGCTATTGCTGAAGAGTCCCACTCTGTGTATCCATAAAAAACTTAATGGAATTCTTGTATACTCACAAACCAATTGGAACGTTATCCCACACTCTTTCTGCTTCTAGAATATCCACTGTACATGGACTGCCGTCATTTTTCAGGAGACTGGTTGATTGCTCAGCTGAAGGTTCCAGCGCCCTCCTTGCTTTCTGAATTAGTTTCTCTGTGTCATCTAAAATAATTATGTCACAATTAAAGAGTCACATATCATGCATAAGATACATATTGTATATTCTTTCAAATAAATACGAATGTCTAAAGCAGGGTTAGGAGCCCTCGGGAACAGTGGTTAGAAATGCAGTATTGCAAGCAAACTCTGCCACAGCCTGGAGTTTGATTCTGATGGGGCTCAAGGTTGACTCAGTGTTCTATACTTCTGGGGTCAGTAAAATGAAGACCCAGATTGTTGGGGGCAATATGCTGACGGAGTGCTGTGGGGAAGTATATAAGTCTAAATGCTACTCCTATTCACAGCCGTGGCAATTTTAAGATCAGTGGATTTCAACTACCAGAAATCCCTAACCAGGACCAACCCATGAAGAATTCTGAGAATTGAAATTAACAATTGCACTTTATTCATTAAATTACTGATAAACAAAGCATAGTCTTCACAGTACCTAAACCTAATCACTGTGAGACATTTTCAAAAGTTGACTAAGTCTGGCATCAAAATAAATGCTATTATGTATTACCTATAAGCGGATCCTTGTGCTCTCTTAAGCCCTGCAGTAGAAAACAGGCACTTGGAGAATCTTTTGGGCAATTTGATTGAGTATCACATTCATGCTTTAGGCTCAACATATCATTATGTCTTTTAATATTTTGAAACTCCATCAACTCCTGATTATCTTGCAAAAACAGATGTGAGGTCTGTGTAGAATTTTCATTACTTGAATCCAATAAGAGATTGTGGTTCTTCAGCCAGATGGGATATTTGGATTCAGGAATACTACTGAGGTCTGAAATGCTCAACTCAGTTTTATGGCTTGTTAGCCATCTTGGATAATTCTTATGAAGCATGGTCTCTCGGTTGGCAAGCTGGTCATTCCCCGGCAGCACAGAATGATGTTTTGGAAATTTATATCGTGTACCCTTTTTTCTGCCAGCTTCATGGTATGAAGAGGGAAGCAAGGAATTTTTCAAAGAATCTTCTTTTTCTTTATCGTGGAAGGATGAAGTCCAGGGATGAGAACAAGAAGCAGATGTTGTCCAGGACCTCCTGTTCACATTGCTTCTCTGAGCTAATGACCTAGAGATCCTGAAAGAGAGGGAACCATCTGCAGGTAATGCTAAAAGATCATCTGTAGTCAGACTGACTATATCTGGCTCATAAACAATTCTTCTTCCCAGACGTCTATGCTGCTTGGCATTTTCTAAAACAAGAAGAGACATAATTTGACTTAATCTACAGGTTCCAAGAAAGAAAAATATTTCAAAAGTTACTTGTAATCATTCTTGTCAGTCAGCCAGCCAACAGAACGTTCTATACCATCTTTTCCTTCTAATGTTGAGGCTTATTTCTAGAGATTAAAAGACACTTTTTCCATCAAGAAATGAGCTATTTTTTCAAACCATTGGTGCTATCAAATGATGGTCCGGATACCACATTCTTTAAAGGCTGAAATTTTGAAGATTTTAATTATCTCAATATAAACTTTCATATGACAATGCGGAAATCTTGGGAGATTTGCTGATATTGCAATGTTTGGGACAGCTGTTAAAACTGGTTTCGGGACCTACAGGGATCATTTTAGGAGATAATGGTGATTCACCAGCCATTGGCAGTTGCTAACTGAAGCCCTATATTTTCTTGATAGACATGTGGTTTTTTTTGTCAAATACTTTTACCAGTCCTACCTGAATACAAATACATTATTTTGACTATTTAATCACATAAATAACATAACATAAATATGCAAAGACAAATTAGTGTCCAGCATTTCAAGTTATATTGCTGGCTGGGTGACTTTGAGGCAATGACTAATTCTTAGCCCAACCCCTGTCACAGAGTTGTTTCTTGGGGGAAAAAGAAGCTGAGGCATAATGTACATTGCTTCCAATTCTACAAAGTACAGGCAATATAGGAATGTAATAATAACAACAATAATAATATGAATTATCATATCAACTACATGGGTTAACTTTTACTTATTTTCATAAAACGTACCACCAACTCATATTAAAAAACACAAATGCACTACAAGATAGGAATCCAAATAACATTAGATACTTCTAGAAAATCAAGGCAAAGAAGAGGAAGAGGAGGAAGAAGAGAAGAAAGAAGTTGAAGTCATAAACTACATGGGCTTAGCTTTCACTTATATTCTTCATGAAATGTACCAACCCATATTAAAAAAAAAACACAAATATACATAACACTGGGAATACAAATAACACCAAACTTGTATAAGGAACACAGGAAATTGTGTGAGTTGGTTATAGATGGGTACCATAAACATCTAATAAATACATTTAACAAATAAATGAATAAATAAGAAATATATATTAGCTTGGCATTTGGATGTTATTTTCAGATTGACCTCTAATAAAGATTCCTCCACGCACACATTACAGAAAAGGAAACATATACACATACCACTCTTGGTCTCAAAATCATCCTTTGAGGACCTGAAATTTTCAGAAGCCCTCCAAAGAATTTCAATTTTTCCAGGTCTGACATCTGGCGATGAAAGATTGAGATCAAAATCTTTAATGTAGGCCTCTAAAGCTTGAGATGCAGAGCTATACAATTTGTCCTTGTATTGGACTGAACCGTGACTCAAGGAGTCATGGCCACTTTTAAAGTTACCACTTGCTAGAAGAGATGACACAGTTGTTTCTGGAGAGCAGCTATTATTTTTTTTAACCAAGCAGGACATTACTTTTCATTCAGGGGCCATCTGCAACTTTTGCTGAAGCTTTCAAGAACTGTCAATAAGCAAGAAAATACAGATTTTGAGAGTCCTCCTAAGACACAATAATACATTTTCAAATCTGCTTTGATTTTCACATTTAATACATCCCCCACCCCCAGAAAAGAAGAGGTATAATTTAAATTATTTCATTTATAATTTATATTGACTGTGGTAGTTTTATAGTGTGGTAGGTATACTATACAGTTAATGACAGAAAACCAAAATATTTTTTGCTAAATTGGATAGCAAATTAAATCACAATCCTGAAAGAGAAACTACACTGTATAGTTTGATACAACTATTTTGTCCCAGGGTTCTCAACTAGCTTATGAAAACTATGGTATTACAGATTTAAGTAAAAACAAGAAAGATACTATGCCGATTTTATATTCAACATTTTACAGGAAGAGGAATTTATAGTGAATGAAGCAGAGGAAGAACAATTTGGAGCAACTCATTGCTGGCTGTTCCAGACTTTAGACTACAGAAAGTTTAGCATTTTGTGTTTATCCAGGCTTGAATTCAACCAGGGTTGGAAAAATATAATATATATCTTACATATTGTGACCCCAGTCAATTGTGATTTACTTCATAAAAGAGCTATAATTAGCACCTCAACCCTGTAATCTCTTATTATTATAGTTCATCACACAGTCAGCCAGATATTTAGACTAGCTTTGACACTTTTATCCACCTGAGTCTGGGAAGGACTTGAGATTGGCAGATGTTGTTTGATGGCGTTAAAGGTATTATTGCAAGATGTAAGTTACTCCAAGTAAAGCTGCCTTTTGCAATCCCAAAATATTTGAGGCACCACTTGAACTATCTCTGCATTCCCAAAATCCCCATCCGCCAATTGCAAAAGACAACTTTATTTGGACAAACTTAAAAGTCATCTATTATTATTGATACCATTTTGTTTGTTGTTTTCTTTTTGGCCATAAATTATTCAATAACTTAAATTATTATTTCAATTAACTGCATTAATAATAATCTAAATTCTTTTATTATTTAAAATAATTTTAATTAATAATTGAAAAGAGTATGGTTGGTTTGCATAGTCAAATGTTTAGGCTGGATTTGGTATTTTTATCCACTGATCAAGTCTTTCCCAGAGAACTTGGATAGGCAGATGTTGTTTAATGGTCTTTGTTTATTTTTATAAATTTTATTACTTAAATATTAAAATATTGGACACAGTACAACCATCCTGGCATTGTCTCTTGCCATACACACTAAGGCATAAAACAGATAACATACTCATCATGCATTTCTAATTGTATACAATTATTCTATCTAGTATATTTACAGCATGCAATCTCGCACATTGCTAATTTTTATACATTTATTTTATCCATTGTACTCAATTACATTTGCATAAATAATACCAACTTTCCATTTTACAAATCCTAGTTATTTTCTGTTCTGGCTCCCTCCTCTCCATTCCGAACATTGGTAAAATTTATTCCATAAAAAATTTATATCATGATATTCTGTCTCTCCTTTATTCTTTAGTTCTAACGTCAGTCAAGACGTCAGTCTAACAACAAAACAGAGACTGTCTTTAATGCCAATGGTGTTCCAGTGGTGCTCCAATTGTTTTGGGATTGCATCCAAGGCCTTTATAAAAATAAAAATATGGTCGTTTGCATGCCCAGCCAGACGTTCAGACTGAAGTTGGCATTTTTGTCCACCTATCACAAGGGTCTTCAAACTTGGCAAGTTTAAGGCTTGTGGACTTCAACTCCCACAATTCCTGAGCTAACATGACTGGAGGAGGAATTCTGGGAGTTGAAGTCCACAAGTCTTAAAGCTGTCAAGTTTGAAGACCCCTGACCTATCAAGTCCTTCCCAGATGTTGCTGTTTGCTGGCGTTAGTAGAGATGTAGCGGCTGGATGTCAGCTGTTGCAAGCAAAGCTGCTTTTTGCAATAGTAAATGAATCTCACCACCATCTAATATTATGCATGTCTGTACATCTATCCAATTCAACTGCTGAATAAGAGCCCTTGAGATAACACACTTACCAACTGTTGGTAGTTAATTATACGTTTCTGCCATGCCCCTAAGATTAACTTCATGCCTAAACCATCAATTTAATTCCATTTACCAGAAAAGAAGTTACATCTCAGAACATATACAGGCACTCCTCAACTTATGACCACAATTCAGCTCAAAGTTTGTGTTGCTAGGTGAGAAATTTGTGAAACAAATTGTGCCCCATTTTACAACTTTTCTTATCTCCGTTGTTAAGCGAATCACTGCAGTTGTTAAGCGAATCTCGTTTCCCCGTTGACTTTGCTTATCAGGAGGTCACAAAAGGGGATCGTGCGACCTCGGGGCACGGCGGCTGTCATGAATGTGAGTTGGTTGCCAAGCATCCGAATGTAAATTGCATGACCCTGGGGATGCTACCACAGCGGTTAAGTGTGAAAAATGGTCCTAAGCCACTTTTTTTTTCAGTGCCGCTTTAATCCGGTCACTAAACGAACTGTGGTAAATCGAGGCCTACTTGTATAGTTTAGAATAGAACAGAATTAGGAATAAGAATAGAAATAGAATGAGCTGGAAGGGACCTTGGAGGTCTTCTAGTCCAGCCCCCCTGCTCAAACAGGAGAACAGCCTCATTTATTGTTTTTATAACTGAGAAGGGATTTCGGCAGTTTCAGAGGCTGCCCTAATTCTTTCCGGGCTCCTCCGGCCCTGTAAAAGAAGAAATCCAACCGCTCTCCCCCTCGACCTCACCTGCCTCCCCGGCGAGATCTCCCGCCCGCCGGTTTGAAAACACCTCAGCCCTCAGAGCTCTGGGGCCAATGGCGCCGGCTGGACTCCAACACGCATGCTCCGTCCCTGCCGCGCGCCCATTGGCTCACGCGAGGCGCAAGCGGAGAGCCCGGAACCACAACTCCCAGCAGGCGTCGGGGCCGAAAGGCATCATAATGCCGGCCAGCCACACCGCCCTCTCCTGCTGGGATATCGCAGTTACAACTAGCGGGCCGGGGAGGCGGAGGCGGTGAGGGATGCTCCGAGGTGAGGGCGAGTGCCATGGGCATGGTAGTTATTGTGTCCGGGGATGGGACTTTTAAGGCCTTCGATCCCTTTCGTCCAAGCCAAGCGGGGATCTCGAGAAGACGGGAGTTCCACAGCTGCCCGGCATATCTGCAAGGCAGCAGAGTCGGCAAACTGACACAAGACAGTTTGCACTTCTTTCAAAGAAATAACATTGCCAGCATGGTTTGATGGCAGTTTGTCCTGGAAAACCCCTTTCCCTGGTCTGTCTCAGGTATCCTTAGAGTCTTAGGGCTTCCTGGTGGTCTCCCATCCATTCTGACCCTCCTCAACTATTTTTATGTGCTGCTTTAAAAAGACCAGCGAGGTTTTAAGAAAATCCATGGAGCCTGGACTGGAGGATCGAAAGAACTTTCTGGGAGAAGTCAATAGCAAACCACTTCATGCTGCCAATCAAAAAACAAAAAACCCATATAATGTAGGACTCAGGAGGGAACTATTATTCTGATCTAACTAATCTTTCAAAGGGATTGTTACAGCTTGATTCACAAAGATATTCATGGATTACAAAGCCAACAGAGATTTGAAGTAGTCTGTATTACAAGGCATTTCCTGAAAGCAGGATGCGTTACAATCGTGTGGAAATGTTGATAGAATATTAGGAAGTGGTTTTGGGGTGAGTTCACAATAGCCTTCAAACTGGCATGCTTCAGCATATGTTGAGACTACAACTCCCAGAATTCCCACCCTGGCCATCTTGATTGGAGAATTCTGGGAACTATTGCCCCAGTTCCCTCTAGAGCAGGGATACCTTGGCAACTTTAAGCCTGACGGACTTCAATTCCCAGAATTCCCCAATCAGCTAAAGTCCGGCAGGCTTAAAGTTGCCAAGATTGGGTACCCCTGCTCTAGGTACCCCTGCTCAACCTTTTGGACCTCAGGAAACCACCAAACTCATAATTTTAAATCCCGCGGACCGCTGATATGAATTTTGACTGACAGTGGTTGCAGGAACAAAGTCTGTAGGAAAATTCCCCACCCCGTTTTCCTACTGATCAATCATTCTTTATTTGGGATCGCAGGGTACCGTCTCCACCTCCATTCTCGGGCAGGGGGAGAGAGAGAGACTTTTGGCTTCATGCAAGGAAAGCAGCAGAAGCAGCAGAGGTCTTTCTTTCTCTCTCCCAAACTCTGTCAGAAGGGAGTCTTTGCTGGCACAGCCCCTTGGAGCAGGATGCCTTGAAGGATCCCAAAGACTCATTTCTGGCAGAGTTTGGGGGAGAGAAAGAAAGACTTTTGCTGCTTTCCTTGCGTGCAGCCAAAAGCAGAAGAAGAAAGAAGTGGAAAGAAGCAGCCCGGTGGCCAGGCCAGGCACGTGGGGCAAGGGGGGGAAGTCGGCAAGCCCCCCCTCCACCCTTTCCCCCCTCCAGTCACTACCTCGCGTTGTTTGCAATGCAAGCGATGCAAGCCTTGTGTTCCTGCGGGCTATGTGGGTGGCACAGCCTTGTGTTCCCACGCAGCCTGGATTAATTGCTTTGGGGGGAGTGCTTTGGGGGGGCATTTCTCTGTGGACCACCAAAATTTTCTCATGGACCACCAGTGGTCCCCGGCCTACTGGTTGGTGACCACTGCTCTAGAGGGCATCAAGTTGAAAAAGGCTGCCCTGGTTCAGCATTTGTGTTTGTGTGTGTGTGTGTGTGTGTGTTTCTATGAGTGCTATTGCACACTTTTACTTCAAAAACTTATTTTTCTCTCCTGCTGTTGGGATATCCCATGCCATTGATACATGCATCACTTTCATATCTTTCCAGTTAGATGGATTATAGGAAAAATGCTGAAGAGGTCTCTGCAAAAATTTTCTTCTATCTCCATGATAAAGAAGGATGGAAAGTGGTAAAATCTACGGTAAGAAAAGTATGTTTGTCTTATCTGAACTAGTTGCCCCTTGCAAACAAACAAACAAATAAATATGTTTAGGCAGGATGTCTAAAGGTGCTTTTTC